GCGGGGCTCGCCACAGTGGGAAGACGTCATTTGCCTTTCAATCAGCTGTGAATAGTGCTCTGGAGGGCAGACGTGTAATCGTGATGTGCTGCGAACACGTACTCTGCTCTAAGCTGCCCCAGCCACTTACACCGCTTTGCAATTTGGACAAGACAGCACTTGGCCGTATTGAGTTCGTCTATGTGGAGAGCATTGCGGAGGTGGTGCGTGAGTTGAGCACGTGGATGACACCGCAGGATGTTCCTGCACTTGTGATTGTGGATGATGACAGTTTCACAGACGCCGGCGATGCACGTCGGACGGCGCAGTTATTGGCGGCGTTAGAGAATGTCTATGAGTGGATGACACGGCATGCAAATACGCATACCAATGGCACTAGTGCAGTAGGGTCATCTGCAGTAGGGGTGCGGTTTCATTACGTACTCGTATCCAACAACTTTCCCGAGCGTAGCCAAGGTGCTGAACTCCCGTTTAGTGCATTTCCACTTGTTTGTATTTATGTTGGCTCAACTGGCTCTGTTGTGGTGCACACAATGGAGACGGACAGAACAGAGGTGAGGCCGCTGCAATTAGAGTGGGATAACGGACTCATCCTTCGCACAGCGTGAACAACGCCATACATAGAATCGAGAGACTGGGAGAACAGTGAAGTGCTTCTTTTTTAGCATGGGTTTTCATTACCTGTGGTAGAAGCTGCTTCTACGTTGAAATGTTGTTTGTTGTTATTATTCTGGGAGTGTGTGGGTGGGTATTTGATTACGTTTTTCCTATGAAGTATTTGTCTTTTTTTTCCTGTTATTTTTTATTGTTAGTTCTGTATAACCACGTTGAGAAGGCACAATATCCATAAAGTTGTTAAAAAAAGGAAAAAGGGAGTAAGACGAACATTATATATTTGCTTCTATACATTTATTACTGTATAGAACTTCTATTCTAAACGGCGTTAAGTCAGTACAGAGTTCATTATCATGGGTACCTGCTGTGGTGTTCAGTCACGCAGTTCACGATATCGGTTAGCCCGCAGAAATGCGGCTGGCAATTCACGTCGTAAGCTTGAACGACTGCGTGCGAAACGTGCACATAAATTTAAGTACGGCGGCCCCACTGAGCGTGGTAATGCCTTTCCGCTGTTTGATGATGGAATGTGTTACCGTGTGGAGTGTGGTAACGAATGGTTTATCTACAATGACACTGTGGGATCTGAAGTGCATGTTATGATGCGGTTTAACGGGGAGTTGAATCTGCGTGGGTCTCCTCGAACGGAACTGAAAAGGGATGGTAAACAGTGGGTGGCGAATATTATTGTATATCCTTTGGAAACAGCTTCCTTTGTTAAACTTCGTAAAGGAAAGGATAAGAAGAAGGGGGAACTAGTGGATATGGGATTTAAGTGTTTTCTACGACCTCTTGCAGCGGATTATCTGAAGAAAGTAAATTCAAAAGCAGAGTCCAAGGTACGGTCTGAAATGTTGGAAGTATCACGTATTTCTTCTGGTGGTCGTTATTCAGAGGAAGAGCTTCTATACCTTTGCAGAAGTAAGAAGAAGAAGATGTTTGTCGATTTAAAGTTCCCACCTATTTCCTCTTCCCTTCAGCAAAGCAGTGATAAGAAGAAAATTGTATATTTGGACAGCATTACATGGAAACGCCCGAGTGATTATGTTCCCCCTGAGCGACATAAAGATATTCAACTTTTTCGAAATGGTATTGATCCTCAAGATATTGATCAAGGACAGTTGGGGGATTGTTGGCTTATGTGTGTGTTAAGTGTACTTGCAGATCGCTCATCTATGGTGAAGAGCATTTTTCGTCATCCTATTTCCTCCAGCAAAGCCAAAAAAGAGCAGAAGTATGGTGCTTATCGTGTGAATATTAATAAACATGGTTGGTGGGAAAACGTTATTGTAGACAGTTATCTTCCAACAATGAATTGTCAACCTATTTTTGGAAAGTGTTCAGATGATCCTTGTGAATTGTGGGTATCCCTTGTAGAGAAGGCATATGCAAAATTACATGGATCTTACGCCAGTATTATTGGAGGAGATGCACTACTGGCATTTCAAGATCTTACCGGGTTTCCAGTTATTTCATTTGATTCCATGTGGAAAGATGCCGTACATGATTCAGAAGCCGCCTCACGGTTTTTTAAAATGTTGCGGGGTTATAAGAAAAAGGGTTATGTGATTACAATTGGTACGCCTGGCACAGACACCAGCGCCTATACGGGATTACAACAATCAAAGGAACCATTTCATCAAAGTACAAAGAACTCCAATAACATGCAAGAATTATATAAGAGAGCTGGACTTGGAATGGGTCACGCCTACTCTGTATTGGATGTACGTCAGTTCAGTTTTCCTAATATAAAACTGTTAAAGGTGCGAAACCCGTGGGGTGCGGGTGGTGGAGAGTGGACGGGTGCGTGGAGTGACAGTAGTGATAAATGGAAACAACACCCACTCGTTCGTCGTGCCTGTAAACCGACCAAGAAAGACGATGGAACATTTTGGATGGAATGGAGTGATATTGTGCGTTTCTTTAATAGCGGTGGTGTTTGCATGGTGGAACGTAATTGGCATGATTACCGCATTCCCGGTCGTTTCAGCGGTGTGGTGCCCAGTGTTGTTCTGCGTGTGAGTGTAAAGCGCAGCACTCGTGTGGTGTTTATTCTCTCCCAACAAGATAAACGAGCAACGGGAGTGGATGGGCCGTATGCTGCTTTCTTGATAACCGTCGCTGGACCCGCCAGCACACCAGGCACCTACACACATCAACTGATCGCCTGCAGTACGAATAATATTGATGTTGATGTGAACAATACAAATATTAAAAAGAAAAAAAACGATAAAAAGAAGAAGAATAAGAAGGAGATGATTTATTCAAGTTATAATATATTATCAGATACGAATGCCTTTACGTTTGCACAGCGGCGAGATGTTGCTGTACGTCTCACATTGGAGCCTTCGCCTGTTCCGTACATTGTGGTTCCACGTATAATGAGCACAGACGCCACTTCTCAGCCACGGCCCTTTACACTCGCAATGCTCACACCCCGAAAAGCGGGAAATGGCATTACGGCAGAGTTTGTACATCTGCCAGAGAACCACAGTGCACTGCAGAATGTGCGAACGTACAATATGGACAGTGGAATCAAACCAATGGTGTTGGAGTTTCAACACAAGAAGCCAGGAGAAGTAGCGTCGCTTCGTAAGGGTTCAAACCTTCACCAGGCGAAGAAGGTGGGATAAGGAGAGAAGAACGTTAAATGAGAATATATCAAGGGAAAGACGTATTGTTTTTACTCCCTTTTATTTTTATTATCATTCTTTTTATCATTCTTATTTTTTTTTTCTCTTCATTTCGTTTGCGTACATCTTTACAGTTTGTACTGCTTCTATTACTAATTTTTCATTTTTTTTTTCATTTGACCTTCTTAAACCGATACACACAGATATACAAATTTTATTACTTACTGTCGCATATATATGTATGCTTTTTTCTCTCTCTGTGTTTGTACTTTTTTATATAACTTACCCTTTTTCTCTACAGAGGTTTCGTTCTGTGATATGAAAACATAAAACTTCCTGTAAAGAATAATAAGTAAGTTGTAATTGATAGTGTCGTTTTTTTTTTCCTACTTATTTTTTTGCATGATTTTCTTATTTTCACTTTGATGATAGCTAAAACAGTTATTTAGTAGAAACTGTCTTGACTCATCCTGTTCAGTTTTATTTTTATATGAATGTTGTTTTTTTTTCAGTTTTTAAGTTCAGTAAATACTCTTTATTTGCTGTATAAGCCTATCTCTCATTTATAACTTCTCCCCGCTGTTAATCCTATGTTATTGTTATTATTATTATTATTATTATTATTATTATTATTATTGGGTATGTTCGTTTTATTTGTTTTTTTTTTCGTTTTACCTGTTATTACTTTCACTATTTTTTTCCTACTTACACATTAACTGAAACGAAATGACAATTATAATCTCTCTCAATGAAATCGCATTATTTATAGTTTAATACACCTAAAGGGAAACCAAAAAATGGCAATTATAATGAATAATACAATAATATAAAGTTTTTTCTTCTTCTTATACTTCATTCATTCACTCTTCTTCTTAGTGTTATTTAATGAATACACTTCCGTTATATTTGCTTTAATATTCTTTATTTCTTTTTTTTTACTTTTCTTCTTTCTTGCCCCTGCTACATATTAAACACCATCTATAAGTCTCTTAAAAGAAAGAAAGAAAGAAAAAAAGGAAAAAAAAAAAACATTGTTCTCTATTGAGAATATATAAATAAAAAAAAAACAAGAAAGCTAAAGAAACAAAGGAAAAAGATGGGCTGCTGTAATTCAAAGGAAAAGGTGCCAAAGCCCACCACTGCACCTGCCGCCGCTCCAAAAGCTGAAGCCGTCGCGCCAGTCACCAAAACGCCTACACCCGCACCTACTGAGGCAGCGAAGAGCGAAGTGGTGAAGGAAGAAGAAGCGAAACAATTGACTCCACAACAGGAACGTTTGGGTCGTGTGATTGAGGCAAGAAACTCCACATTCAGTTACAGTAAATGCACTGTTGACGGTGAAGTTTCTTCATTCTTTCCACCGAAGGGTTTATGCTTCCGCATTGTGCGGGATGGCACATGGTATTTCTACAATGATACTCTCAACTATGAGATGCATGTAAGCTATACCTTTAGCCCAGACTCTAACATTACACCTGGCAATCGAACCACAACTAAATCAAATGAAAATGGCTGGATTGTCGTATCTGCTGTTGTTTATCCTTTGGAGACAATTGAATTTGTTTCTGGTGGAACAGATCTATACAAGACTGAGGTAAGTGCAGAACCCCTTTCTGAAGAATTTTACAAAAACTTACAACCACTCAGTGAGGCCGCAGAGAATGAACTTCGTCAGATGCGTGAGCTGGCACCTGGTTCAAGTGATGAGGAAACTCGACTTCGTCGATGTGTGGAGACGAAAACACCTTATACAGATTTGAGTTTTGCCCCATCAGCCAATATGCTTTGGCGTAACGGCATAGATAGCCGACGCTTCCCAACGATGGAATTTCGACGACCACGTGAATGTCTTGAAAAAGACAATAATAACACTGCAAATATAGATGTTTTTCGCGGTGCTGTTATTCCACAATGTATTGAAAAAGGTCTTCTTGGGGATCATTGGTTCATGTGTGCCGTTGCCATTCTTGCACAAGATGAGCAGCGTTTAAAGGAACTCTTTACACACTCCGTGGATGAAGAAAAATCACTTGGTGCCTACCGTGTACAATTTAACTTAAATGGCTGGTGGAATTCTATTCTTTTAGATGACTTCCTGCCAACGGTGAACGGTGTACCTTGTTTTGCTCGTGTGATGGATGATCCATATGAACTTTGGGTGTCATTGTTACAAAAGGCATATGCGAAAATGTTTGGCTCCTACGCAAGCATCACAGGAGGTGACGCTGCACATGCACTGCGTGACTTTACAGGTGCCCCTTCCTGCCGTTATGATGATATTTGGAAACGTGCGAAAGAAATGGACGATGATTTTGTAATTAACGCTATGCAGAAATCCAAACTTGAAGGTCATATTGTGGTTCTTAACACACCACTGAGTGGAAGTGGTTGTGTGAATGTGGGACTACGTGAGGGCTTCACGTATGAAGTGGTGTCTGTACACCCTGTGCCAGCTGCTGGACTAACACTGCTGAAGATGCGCAATCCGTGGGATCCTGCAACCCCGTGGACTGGTCCCTGGTCTGCAGACTCCATGGAATGGCAGCAGCAACAAGAGGTTCGTGAAAGTTGTAATCCAGATTTCACAGAAAAGGATGGAACGTTTTGGATTGAATTTAAGGACGCCTTAAAGTATTTTGACGGTTGTGCTGTTATCTTTACATCCGATGAGCCTACCTATGATCACCGTGTGCGTGGTGAGTTTAACAATGTACATCCCAGCGTGGTGTTGATGGTGCATGCTGTGGAGCCAGTGGATGTGGTACTCACACTCACACAACGTGATAAACGCGGTTTACCACTCACCGACCCTGATGCGCTTCTTTCACCCATTATGTTAAGTGTTTCCCGCGGCGATGGCAACAAGCAACATGTGGATAAGTGCACCTCTGAGAGCTTTCACGATGCATCCGATACGTACAACTTTGTTGTTTCCCGCGAGGTTTCCATGCCGTACCGATTTGAGGCGAGCCCCACGCCGTACTTTGTGATTCCACGCATTCACCGCAAAGGCACATCGGAGGGTCGCATGAAGGAATTTGTTGTTGGCATTCGCTCCGCCACGCCGCTTGAGGGGAAGTTGGATGTGCAGTTGACGAAGATTGACAGCAGCAACTGCGTCTTCCGCAATCGCCTCACATTTGTGGTGGAGGACACGACGGAGGTGATTCGCCCCATGCAGATGAAGCCGCCGGGTGAGACGGTCGTGATGGAGGCCGGCAGCAAACTCTCCACCGCCGACTACAAGAAGATGTATCCAGTGGAGAAGACCCCAGCGTCCTCCGATGCGGTGAAAACACCAGAAGAACAAGAACAGCAACCATCCTATCCGGAGGAAAAGGAAAAGGAATTGGATTCCATCGATGATGTGAACAAGCAGTTGAAGGATGAGGAAGGACGTGATTACGGTGTGACGACGGATGAAGATACGGTGGATCTCAAGACACAATTATTGAAGCCAGGATCTCAGATGAATGCTGGAAGCAATCACGTGAATGAAGTGAAGGAGAATCACGTGAATGGTGAAGCGAACAGAGTTCAAGCGGCGGCATAAGAGAAGAGAAAACACACACACACACACACACAGCTGTCTTAGTTCAATTACTGCAAATTTGTGTTATTCGCAGTGGAACGGGAGGGGATGATATAAAAGGTCTGCACTTCCTTTTTTTATTTTGCTTTTTTTTTGCTTTTATATTTGAACGAAAATGGTAAGAGTGAAAAGGAATTGTTCGCTGCAGAAAAAGCAAAAGAAAAGAGAAATGATATATATATATGTACGGTTGTGACGAAATGAGAGAAAAGAAACAAAATAAAAACGACAGAGGATTGAGAGACTGAAAGAACGTAAAACATACAATTGGACATACGCACCAACTCAACATTTTCTAACAAAGAAACACGAGAAGAAAAAAAGAAACAAG